CACCATGTGCCTGAGAGTATCATACAAATGCTTCTTGAACTCTGGCAGGTTTGGTGCTGTGACCACTTCCCTGGGGAGCCTGTTTCAGTGCCCAACCACCTTCTGGGTGAAGAATCTTTTCCTAATATCTAACCTAAACCTCCCCTGACACAACTTTAGGCCGTTCCCTTGGATCCTGTTACTGGTCACCACAGTGTGCCCCTCCGCTTCCCCTCACAAGGAAGTCGTAGACTGCAATGAGGTCTCCCCTCAGTTCCTCCAGGCTGAACAGATCAAGTAACCTCAGTCACTCCTCGTACAGCTTACCCTCAAGGCCCTTCACACTATTTTCATTGCCCTCCTTTGGATGCTCTCTAGTAGCTTAATAACTTTCCTATATTGTAGTGCCGAAAACTGCACACAATATTCAAGGCGAGGCCACACTAGTGCAGAGAGGGACAATCTCCTCCCTCGACCAGCTGGCAATGCTTTGCCTGATGCCTCCCAGGACATGGTTGGCCCTCCTGGCTGCCAGGGCACACTGCTGACTCATGTTCAACTTGTTGTCAACCAGGACCCCCAGGTCCCTTTCTGCAGCGCTGCTTTCCAGCATCTCATTCCCCAGTCTGTACATACATCCAGGGCTGCCTCATCCCAGGTGCAGAATCTGGCACTTTCCCTTGTTGAACTTCATATGGTTGGTGATTGCTCAGTCCTCTAATTTGTCCAGGTCTCTCTGCAGGGTCTCCCTGCAGGGTCTCCCTGCCTTCGAGGGGGTCGACAGCTCCTCCCAGTTTTGCATCATCTGCAAACCCACTTAGTATCCCTTTATCCTTCCCTGCGTCCAAGTCATTTATGAAGATGTTGAAGAGCACAGGGCCTAAGATGGAGCCCTGTGGAACCCCACTAGTTACAGGTCGCCAGCCTGATGTTACCCCATTCACTATTACCCTCTGTGCTCGACCCGTTAACCATTTGCTCATCCATTGCACTACGTGTTTTTCCAGCTGTGTGCTGGACATTTTGTCCAGAAGGATCCTGTGAGAGACAGTATCAAAAGCTTTACTGAAATCCAAAAAGATTACATCAACTGACTTCCCTTGATCAGCTAGGTGGGTTACCTTGGCATAGAAGGAAATCAGGTTTAATAAGCAGGACTTTCTTCTCATGAAGCCATTCTGGCTGTGATCGATGACAGAGTTGTCTTTCAGGTGTTTTCCAATACTTCCCAGAATAATTTTCTCCATAACTTTACCAGGCATTAAAGTGAGACTGGCAGGTCTGTAGTTTCTAGGGTCCTCCTTGCCCTTCTTGAAAATCAGGACAATGTTCTCCAGCTTCCAGTCAACTAGGACCTATCCGGATTCCCAAGACTGCTCAAAAATCATCGAGGAAGCTTTGCAATGACATCAGCCACCTCTTTGAGGATTCTGGGATGAATCCCATCAGACCCCATACATTTGTATGGATCTGGCTCTAGCAGCAGATCCCACACAATTTCAGGGTCAACTGGGAGTTGATTGTTCTTGCCGTCATGGTCCTCCAACTCAGGGCACTGAGACCCCACCCCCCTTGGTCCATCATCCATGTTGATAACAGAGGCAAAGAAAGCATTAAACACCTCTGCCTTGTCTCTGTCCCTGTTTGTGAGGTGACCATTCTTATCCTGTAATGGGGTTGATGATATCTTTATACTGTCTATTGCCATTAATATATTTGAAAAAAAATCTTTTTATTGTCCCCCACATTTCTTCCCAGTTTCAACTCCAGTTGATCTTTGGTCACACAAATTTTCTCCCTACACTGGTAAGTAGCATCTCTGAATTCTTCCCATGTCCCTTGACCTTGCTTCCCCTGGGCACACACATTCCATTTTTGCCTTATCTCCAAGAGAAGATTCCTGCTCAGCCAAGCTGGCCTTCTGCCTTGCCTACTTGATTTCTGATATTTGGGAATTACCTGCTCCTTTGCCCTTAGGACGTGATGTTTGAAATTGACTGGCACTGATGTGTTGCAGCCCAGGGGACAAAGGGTCCAACCACAGAGTTAGGGTGGAACAGAGTGATCCTTTATTAACAGGGGAGCACGGACTTATATAGGGTTTCGAGGGAACTCTCTGGAAGAAGGGGTGGAACATGGGAGGAGTATGCTAAACAGAGACGTATAAGGAAAAAAGGGGAGGGTTTCAACTACGACTGGGTGGTGACAACCATATATGGAATGCCCACATAAGGGAATGGTGCATGGCACCAACTGAGAACCAATCAGCAACAAGGGCACAAATAAGGGAGAGAGAACATGAGGGATTTTTACAAAATTGATGAAAAGGGTACATCAGAGGACAGAAAACACATCTTCATATAACCCAAACTTCAACCCTAAGTCCACACAACTGTTGTGCTCATTAGGAGGTAGAAAAGGTAGTTTTTTCTGGTGGTTCACAGTTTTCTTTGTTGCTTGTTCCAATTTCCACATGTTGTACTCCTCAGGTCTTTGGCTTCCCACACTGATGGACCCCAGCACCTGCAAAAACATTTTCCCAGGGGACCTTACTTACTGATTCCCTGAGCAACCTGAAGTCTGCTCTCCTCATGTCCAAAGTTGAGGTTTTACTGGCACTTTTCCTCTTGTCAACAGAGATTTTAAACCAATCTCCACTTTGCTCACAAGATCCACTCTGTTGACAAGCAGTAGATCAAGGAGAGCGTCTTTCTGAGTTGACTTCTTATGACCTGTTCCATGAAGCTGTCATCCAGGTTTTTTAGGAATCTTCTGGCCTGGGTTGTACCAGCTGTGTGATGCTCCCAGTTTATTTCTGGCAAGTTGAAGTCCTTAAGGACAAGGGCAGTTGACTTGGAAGTGTCCCTTAGTTCCTCAAAGAATAATTTGTTGGCATCATCATTCTGTCGGGGAGGTCTATAGTAGACTCCCACGATGACATCTGCATTATTTGTTTGCCCCTTGATTCTTAACCAGATGGTCCCAACTGTGCCGTTGCCAACTGTGATCTCCATACATTCTATCCCTTCTATTACATAGAGTCACGCCTCTGTCTCTAGCCTTCTACCATAATGCCACTCACTTAATGGATGAAGGGAAAGCATTGGATGTAGTTCTTTTCTGGATTTTAGTAAGACTTTTGATACTGTCTCTCACAGAATCCTTCTGGACAAGTTGTCCACCTATGAGATGAACAGGTTCACAGTGTGCTGGGTGAAGAACTAGCTAAAGGGCAGGTCTCAAAGGGGCTACATCTGGATGGTGACTGGTCACCAGCAGCGTTTTTCAGGGTTCACTTCTAGAGCCAGTTCTGTTCAATATTTTTTGTCAGTGATCTATATGCAGAAGTTGAATACACCATTAGCAAGCGTGCTGATGATACCAAACTGGGAGATGCTGTTGACTCTCTGAAGGGACAAGAGGCCTTGAAGAGACCTTCAGATAGATTGGAGCATTGGGCTATGATTAATGGATTGAAAGTTCGAATGCTGGATTCTGCACCTAGGATGGAATAATGCCAGTCACAAGTAGAGTTTGGAAGAGCTGGAGAGCAGCCCTGCAGAAAGGGATCTGGGGGTGCTGGTTGACAGCAGGCTCAGTATGAGTCAGCAGTGTGCCCTGGCAGCCAAGAGGGCAAAGCTAGTGAAAGGACTGGAAGGCATGTCCTATGAGGAGCAGCTAAGGGCTCTGTGTTTGTCTAGTTTGGAGAAAAGAAGACTGAGGGGTAACCTCATTGTTCTCTACAACTTCCTGAGGAGGGGAAGTGGAGATGGAGTTGTTGATCTCTTCTCCCTGGTATCCAGTGAGAAGACACATGGGAATAGTTCAAAGCCAGACAGTTGAACTAGATGATCGCTGTAAGTCCCTTCCAACTGAACTGTTCTGTTTTTTTCCATTCCATTCCATTCTGTTATATTCTAATTAACCTGGTTTAGTTTAAGAGGTTAAATTTCTATCTTTTCCTTTTCTTGTGGTTATTATCAGTGTCCACATTGTGCAGTTTTTCAGCACCAGAGAGACTATGCAACCTCTACATTCCCTGCAAAATGTCTTTACGGAGAATTTAAGTCTATGTTGTTAAGCAGAATTGGCACTTCAAAAATCCTATTCAAATAGTTCTATTTTAATTGTTCTAAATGAATACCTCTCAACTTTAAAGAGGAATAGAGTTCACCAGAAATTATTCATAATATAGTCGAAAGGGGAGGGATAATCAGATTTCTAGTTTTAAAAAAAACCCAACAAACTGCCAAAGAACCCAAAATGCCTTAAAAGTCTTTCAGTGAACTTTTTCTTTCTGCCTATTTTTTATTTATTATAATTTTGTAAACATTACTGTATCTCATTGAGAGAATCCTGAAGTAATGTTTCTCTGATTTAACATAATAGGGTTTTAATTTCATAACTGAAGAGAGAAAACACTTCCAAACTATTAGCTGCCATGTCTATTAGAAAGTCTTAGAACTAGTCCTGATTTTGGTTGTGTGTTTCTGCAATTAACCATTTTTAAAAACATTGTTAAATGGACTGTGGACTTGTTCAATCTTCATCACGAGATTTTTTTTATACATGCTGTGTTTTTAGGTTGTTTTTTTTAAATTTCGTTTTGTTATTGAAATTGGTGGAGATGTAACAAATGTACGAAGGCCAAGTTAAACTAGAATATAGAAGTTTTGAAGATTCAAGTTTTAATCTTTGTTGCTTTTTCACTGTTGGTTTAATTGAATCCTTTGACTTTACTGAGAACAAATCTGATCTATGCCTTTGTGGAAACTTGAACTTATAAAAAGAAATCCTTTTTCCTTTGGATTGCTGGATGCTTTTTCTGCAAGGAGATTAGTCAAGTCACTACTCTGCATTTGAACTAATATAAAATTTAGAAAAAGTATACTAGATAAAATTTTTAAATAGAGTTAAACAATAACACTCCCAAAAGTTATTTTGAAAAATATTGTCTTTAACTTACTTCTTACTACTTTGGGAGTGCTAACTGTCACTTTTGTTTGGTTTTGACTTTCAAGGTATCCAGAGAATGGCATAGTAGAAATGGACACTAAAAATCTTCGACCACGAGCAAGAACCATTCTGAAGTGGAGTGAACTAAAAGTGGGTGATGTAGTGATGGTTAACTACAATGTTGAGGCTCCAGAAGAAAGAGGATTCTGGTTTGATGCAGAAATTACCTCTCTCAGAGAAATTTCAAGGACTAACAAAGAGGTTCATGCTAAAATTCTGCTGGGGTAAGATTTCTTTGGCTAAAATGGGAAGTTTATTTACATTCTTAAACAAATAAACAAAACATAAAACTTTTAGGTTTGTTTGCTACTCATTATTCTTCCGCAGGGCAGATTTCAGACTATTCAGAAGACTAGTTCAGAGTGTACCCTGGGAAACAACCCTTGAAAACAAAGGGGTCCAGAAGGGATGAATGTGCTTCAAGAAGCAAGTCTTGAAAGCACAGGAACAGGCTGTCCCAGTGTGCCAAAAGGGAAGCTGGCGGGGAAGACGACCGGTCTGGTTGAACAGGGAGATTTTGAAGGAAATTGGGGTAAAAAAGAGAGTTTACCAATTGTGGAAAAAAGGGTTACCTACTCATGAAGAGTTTAGGAATATAGTTAGGTCATGTAGAAAGAAAATTAGAGACGAAGGTACAACTTGAACTGAATCTCGTCACCTCCGTGAAGGATAACAAAAAGTCCTTCTACAGATACATCAATAGCAAAAGGAGGGACAAGGAAAACCTCCATTCTTTACTGGACATGGGCGGGAATATAGTTATCAAAGATGAGGAAAAGGCTGAGGTATTTAACACCTTCTTTGTCTCAGTTTTCAACAGTAAGACAGGTTGCCATGAGGACAACTGGTTTCTGGAACTTGTAGAAAGAGATAAGAATCTGGATAGCCCCCTTGTAATCCAGGAGGAAAGAGTTAGCAACCTGCTGAGCCACTTGGATCCCCACAAGTCTGTGGGACCAGATGGGATCCACTCAAGGGTGATGACGGAGCTGGTGGAAGAGCTCGCCAAACCACTCTCCATCATCTACCAACAGTCTTGGCTCACTGAGGAGGTCCCAGATAATTGGAAGTTGGCGAATGTCACCCCCATCCACATAAAGGGCTGGAAGGAAGTCCCTTCCAACCTGGCTGATCCTATGATTCTATGAATAGAATAGAATAGAATACAATACAATACAATACAACAGAACAGAACAGTTGTAAGGGACCTACAGCAATCATGTAGTACAACTGCCTAGCCAATTCAGGGTTGATCAAAAGTTAAAGTGTATTACTAAGGGAAATCTCCAAATGCCTCTTCAACACTGACAAGCTTGGGACATCTACCACCTCTCTAGGAAGCCTGTTCCAGTGTTTGACCACCCTCTTAGTAAAGAAATGTTTCCTAATGTCAAGTTTGAACCTCCCCTGATGCAGCTTTGAATTATTCACGTGTTTTGTCACTAGATACCAGGGAGAAGAGACCAATGAGGTCACCCCTCAGTCTTCTTTTCTCCAAACTAGACAAACCCAGAGACCTTAACTGCTCCTCAAAAGACATGCCTTCCAGTCCTTTACCCAGATTTCTTGCCCTCCTCTGAACATATTTGAGTACTTTAACAACCTTCTTCCGTTGAGAGGTCCAGAAATGCACACAGTACTCAAGGTGAGGCTGCACCATTGTTAAATAGAGCAGGATAGTCACATTTTTTGAGTGGTTGGTTATACTATGTTCAATGCACCCCAGGATGTGTTTTGCCCTCTTGGTTGCCAGGGCACACTGCTGACTCATACTGAGCCTGTTGTCAACCAGTACCCCCAGTCCCTTTCTGCAGGGTTGCTCTCCAACCACTCCTCTTCCAAACTCTACTTGTGTCTGGCATCCTAGGTGCAAAATCCAGCATTCAAACTTTCATTCTATTAATCATAGCCCAATGTTCCAATCTATCTAGATCCCTCTTCAAGTCCTCTTGTCCCTTCAGAGAGTCAACAACACCTCCCAGTTTGGTATCATCAGCAAACTTGCTAATGGTGTATTCAACTTCTGCATCCAACTCATTGATAAAAATATTGAACAGAACAGGCCCTAAAAAAGTTTTGCTCCCATTCCCGATATAGGGTTTGCACACTTTTCCACCCCTTGCTACCAAAATGAGGATTGCCTTTTCAGGAATGCCCAGGGCTAAATAGTCTTTCCATGCTTCAGGGTGTTATAGGTCAGGGCCTTTTTGCATAGGCTTAGGGGAATTTTTAACTACATGGACACAAGAGGGTTTGCCTGTAAGTATAGCTGCATCTTTAGGGAGATGGGATGATAACAGAATGGGCATAGCAGAAACTACCTCATAATACCTGGATGTTGCACCTGTAAAGCAAGTGTCTATTGGCAATAAATGGACTCTGAGTGGATCATGATCCTTTTTGAATAGTGGGTGCTGCTGGGCCTCTGTGGGACATCCCTATAGGTCTTCCTTTGCCATAGGGGCTACATCGAAAATGCAATTGGTAGCCAATCTATCTATGTAGAGTAGGGAAAAGATAAAGCCTTGACACTGTATATAAACACTGCTCAACAGTAGCCAAAACACTGGTGTGTTATCAAAACTTTTAGTCAGAATTCCAAATCACAGCACCATGTGGACTTCTATGAGGAAAATTCAATCCATCACAGCCAAATCCAGTACATCTGTTTAATTTTAGGAAATTGGGTATAGCTCTTCCTACATTCAGCAATTTTTTGCAGAAATCCAGATGTCAACTTTAAATAGACTGTGACATTTCTTATTTTCCCCATCTTAAAGATTGCAATCTTTACACTCTCCTTGAAGAATTCACTGTTAGTCTTCTCTTCCATTGATAGCTTTCTTTGCCACTTGGACACAGAGTCCCATTATTACCATATCATATTCACAAAGGAACTGAGGCAGTTGTATTCAGTCTGTTGTCTCCAAATCTGTAGGAGGACAGAGACACAGGGATGCATGTGTTACCAAGAGTGAAACTGATGTTACAGTGTAACTTGAAGTGACCATTTCTTTTTAACTAAGAAGTTTGCCTTAATGGTGGCACCTCCTAAATTTCACTACAAAAAAAGAGTATCGTAATTCTAAAAATATTTTCCTTAAAATTATTTTAACTATTCAAATTTTAGAATGCTTTTTATTATAAGAATGGAGGACTATTGAATTTTTATTAACATTTCTAATGTAGAGAATGGAAGAATATTTTTATGATGAGTGGCAATTTAATATATTGCTTACATACCAGAAATAGTTGTATTTTTTAAATGCAAAAGATGTTGAGTTAGTAGCTTTTGCAAGCATATGCAAATTTACTTTGAATATTGCTTTTAAATCTAGATTAACATGAGTGATTTAGATTAAATATTTCAGTGTTATGGCTTCCTGTGATTCAAAATGTAGAGGAAGTATATAAATTAATTTTGGAGACAATTGTCATTTAAGAAAAAACACTCTCAAATCTAAAACAAGATGATGAATAGGTTTGAATTATTAACCACAAACTTAGCAAGGGAGAAGTATTTTTTTAAAAGAAATCAACCAATCCATAGATCTTGAGATCATCAAGGATAATTCAGGTTGGAAAGAGCCTCAAGAGGTCTCTGATCCAATTTCTCAAAGCAGAGTCATTTATGATGTCAGACCAGATTACTCAGGGCTTTATTCAGTCTGGCCTTGAAAACCTCCAAGAATGGAGACTGCACAACCTTTCTGGATGCCTGCTTCACTGTTTGACTGTTCATATGTTTCGTCCATGATATATGTATATACTGCAATGCATTTAATATGTGAAGGTCATATTAGTGGATGGACAGCAGGATGGGGATTGGGGGAGCAAAGTCCCTCCCACTGTAAGAGAAGATCAGGTTCATGACCACCTGAAGAACCTGAATGTATATAAGTCTATGGGACCCAATGAGGTGTATCCCAGGGTCCTGAGGGAATTGGCTGATGTAGTTGCCAAGCAATTCTCCATGATATTTGAAAAGTTATGGCAGTCAGGTGAAATCCCAGGTGACTGGAAAAGGAGAAACATTGTACCCATCTGTCCTAGTTTTGGTCAGGACAGAGTTGGGTTTTTTTTGCAGTAGCTGAGGGGACGTGGCTGTGGGCATGTCTAGGAGGTTATTCAATACCACCTTACGTCATTTCCAGGGGTTGGAGAAAGGGAGTCTTTCTTGTTGCCAAGAAGAAGGGCATTCCTTCTGGTGGGAGAAAGCATGGTGGGCGAAATGGTCCAGTATTGTTTTATTTTATATGTAAATCGTTTCTTTGTCTTATACCTTCTGTTATTAATATTGTTGCTGTTAATGTTTGTTTTCTTATCTCATTGCTATTTCCAGTAAATTGTTCTTAACTCGTGACCTTTGCCTTTTGTGCTTTCAACTGGAGGGGGAGCAAGGAGCTTTAGTGGGACTACTAAATTGGAGAATACCATTCCTAAACCATGACACCATCTTTTAAAAATGTAGAAAAGAGGACCCTGGGAACTACCAACCTGTCAGCCTCACCTCTGTTCCTGGGAAGATCATGGAACAGATCCTCCTAGAAGCTATACTTACCGCGGTCCGAGCGGGGGAGGGGAATGGGGCCGCGACACGGTACGGATCCCAGACACAAAGGTGGGGTGCAGGTAGAATCTTTAATCCA